TACACAGGACCTGAGGTGGCAGATGGCATCTACCCCCGAGCATTAGCTGTTATCGTCGATTAGAACTCAATTCACCTACTCCACTTTATGAGATGCGAGTTTAACTATCATATCATGCAATTATATTAATACATAGTTTAGAACAGAAACAATGAGATTTTTGGTGAACCAGCAAAGTTTGATTTAAGTTCAGTTATAATTGGTTAATCACTGCATGTGATTGATTTGGAAAGTAAATACAATGCATACTAACTCGGAGGCATGTGATAAAAATATTGCAGCCTGAATATAAGTATTCATACCCTCACACAAAGAGAACATTTGCCTTCTTATCATTGGATATTCGATATTTGGTGAGTAATTTATAATATGAGAGTGGAAATTTGAAGGGAAGGGGGAAATAACGTCACCATAGCAACTAACACACTACACTTACCTGAATTTGTTTAATGGTTCCAATTTATCACCACCTTCGAATTCATGTAATAATTCCATGGCAGTGACACCACCAATACCAGTTATGCCAGTTGTGTAATCACTACCAACCAAGTATGCAATCTGGATCATTTTGTCCCGATTTAACACTGAATATGAGACAAATAGATCAGGTTTTAACGAAAGTCATTTTAAATGTGAAACTACACAAAGGAAAGTCTATGATCAAGGCAAATTTTTCTCCACTGTATGAAAGAATTCAAATTATTTTCCCTTTTCAGCCTTTTCAATGTTTAATTGTTACCACATTTTTCTGTGAATTCTTTTTAGTTAATTTGAACCTAAAATTTTCCATTGTCTGCAGGTTTGACATTTATCAAAAAAAAACCTAGACAAAATTATTCACTAGGTTTATTTGTGAAAAGTGTGGAAAGTTGAAAGTTATAAGTTAGTGACATGCCAAATTTAAACTTTGAGAATATAACAGGTTAGAGAATGCACAGTGTTGTAAGTAGAAGAAAACACTGGGAAAAAAAATTTCCTACATTTGCAGAAAAAAAAAATTCAGGACAGAATGGCCATATTCAAAAAATTTTCTTTAAAATTTGTGCTTATTGGATTTATGTCTATGGAGTATAATTTTAGTGTTTGATCATGAACAGCTTTATTGATGTTATTTCATAACTGCAGTAAAAATGAAGAAATTTACAGCAGTCTATGAAGTTATGTGATTGGACATGTACACTACACATGTACTGTTTATTGCTTCAATTTTCGAAAGAAAACCTATGAGTGTCAGCCATTTGTAGGAAGTGTTGCTACACAATTGCCAAAAAAATTCTGAAATCATGAACATTTGTGAAATACCGGTAGTTGTAAATAAATAGCTGTACATAACCTTCAGTGTTTGGGTAAACCGGTTGCTATACTTACACAGTTGTCTTTCAATATTCTCAGCGATATAACATTCAACAAACTTTTTTTGATTGAACATATTTTTATAGACCCTTTTACCGCCAAACAACCAGATATCACTGTCGTCAGTAATTGTACCGTAAGTCTGATCAGTCAGGTTGAGATACGCACACTGGGCTTCAGCTTCTTGCACACTTGTTATATAGGGTAATCCAAATAACGTCAACAGTTCCTACATGTATGAAGCAAAACCATTTGTAAGCAAGCAATTATAATTGATGATTCATGTACTACTATTATCAATCATGAGATGAAGCCACTAACGCCTCGTACTCTTTTGTCTGGAAAACACTTTCACCATTGTCAACAGGCTCCAATGACTTTCACTGGGTCATATATGGTCATGATGACTTTTACTGGGGACCTAGGGAGTCACAATGACTTTCACTGGGTCATAGAAGGTCACAATGACTTTCACTGGGTCCTAGGAGGTCACTATGACTTTCACTGGGTCCCAGGGAGTCACAAGGACTTTTACTGGGGTCCTAGCGAGTCAAAATGACTTTCATGAAATATCTTTTTCACAGATTCCTTCAAATGAAGAAATTGCCAAAAACTGAGAGCTGCAAAAATGAATCAGTATGCAGTACTTTACCTTCGCTTCCACATACATCTGATCAGTAATGGATGCACCAAATCTTTCCTGTTTATTTTTCTCTGCCATCAAAGCTACCCCTTCATTGTCAAGTTCTACCTCCATAGCTTCAACTTCTTCCTGTACAATATATATCATAAATTAACTATTTTTACCAATTACCGGTACATCCGAGTGAAACACTCAAGAGGGAGGAGGGGGGGATTTAAACAATAGTTCTTTGTAATTATGAATATTACAGCAGTGTTTTTATGATACAAATATGAGAATATATGGTGTACGTGATGCGATATAGTTGAAAAGAATAAAAAAACTGAATACACAAACAGAAAAAGCACAAGCACACTTATTGTGGCACTTTAACATCTGATGCCCTGATAGTTTCAGAGAAGAGATGCCACACATACACACGGAGTGATGAATAAAAGCAATAAAGCAGTACTTACTAATGTTTTACCAGCCCATTTATCAACTGGAGAGGGAGCACTTGCATCACTTTCTTCACTAATTGTGACGAGAATCTCCTTTTCGTCCTCTTTCTGGTCCTCTTTTCTAGCCACATCTACTTCATGTATTCTACCAAACTGCTGTGAAATATCAACTTCTGCTACCTCACGCTGTGGTGAGGCACACACCTTTATTTCTTTAACAAATATTTCAGCCGGAAACAAGTCGTCATGGCAACTAACTTCTGAGGGGTTGACAACAACTTCTATCAAGTCATCTGAAGGGAAATTGAGTTAGGAGAACATTAGAAGATCTAAGAAATTATTATTCATGCAGTATACTATGGCATACGCTAGTTTCATGTTATACATGTTAGAATTGTTATACATGTACATGTACATGTTTACTACTGTAAAAGGGTTAATTATTCGCTGGGTTCTAATTTTGCTTATTTCGCTGACTGGAAAATTAGCGAAATTAAAACCCAGTCATGTGAATATGTAAAATTTAGCACAGAACACATTATCTAAATGATAAAACAGTGAATTTAAAAACCCAATAAATATGCCTGAAATGCTAAATCAGCTAAATTTAAACCCAGTGAAAATTAATTATTTTACAGTATTTTGTTTATTCTAGTGACCTTCATTTCTCTGTACCATTTTGGGAAGGTGCCTTGTATGGGTGTATCGCCTGATGTATATTTCCATCCCTACAATTGTGTTCAAAGAAATAAATATAAAGAAATTACAGGAATCTGTTAATGCAGATTATTGGTGCCACCCTTTTCCATACCTCCCTTTTCAGTAATCATTTATAAACTCAATAGACAGTTTGTTTGTCACCCACCCTTTTTTTAGGTCGAAACCTCCTCAATGATTCTTACTTGAACAATAATTGTATTATTACCTTCAGAGCTGCTTTCATTGTAAGGATTTATTATGGCAACTTCAACTTCAGGTTTCATACTAACAACTTCAACTTCAGGTTTCATACTAACAACTTCAACTTCAGGTTTCATATTGACAACTTCATACATCTGGTCCTCAAGCTTTGAAGTCAGGGTCAACTCTTCAGAATTTGGTTGTGCAATCAGCTTCCCGTTGATATTTTCCACATCTACCTTCTCTGACACTTGAGCAATGTTCTTGAACATGGCTGAACTGTCTCTTTTTGCATGGACTTCTTCCTGAATTTTCACAGGGTGCACTGCAGTATCAGCTGATTGGTTTGTTTTATCAATGTCCCTTAAGTTTTTATTGTAAATGTTTTTGTGTGTATCATATGTTGCGGCCTTTGTAAGGTCAACAACCTCACATTCGTGATCAGTATTCAAGTTCAATTGGTTTCCAGTTGTAGTTTTCTCATTTTTGTCAGTGAGTTCAACCTTGTCACTATCAGGTGATTTTCTATTGCCGTCAAAAATCACATCCTTGTCATAGACATGCTTTGGATCAATTTCTTTAATTACCTGTACTGACTTTACTTGTGCCAGCTCACAATCAATTACAACTAATTCATCCTGTGACTCCTTCTGTATCGGCATTTCAGCGATCACAGGTTTACCGTTAGTATCCTGATCCACATTTGAGTCCTCCACATCTTTCTTGTTACTCAACCCTTTAATGAGAATATAATGTTGATCATTTGCTGAGACGACTCGTCGTGATTCCACACGTGTCTCATTAGGGACATCATGTTTCAGCATTGAAACTGTCTCACCAGATTCTTTTGAATTCATTTCTTTTCGAATGCTGTTAAGTCGCTGACTTAAATTGCTCTTTTTTAACAGCCCAGCGAGTTGAAAGCTTGAAAAATCATTGGCTTTCTGAAAAGAAATGAAATTCAAAGCTATGAAACTGTAGTATTGATATGCTTGGAATGATGCATGTGAGAAGAAAACTAGCAAGTGAACACACACAAGCAAAAATGTCATGATGCTGAAGTTAGTCTTGAATCCAAATTTGAATTCATTTCTGGGTTCACATCCAGGTTCGAGTGAATGACAGTAGTATATTCTCAGATAAAGATTTTTTATTTAATAATTCTGTGTTTCGTCATATCTGTTTAACCTTTTCACCACCGATTCCCTATTTTTATCACAAATTCATAAAATAGTCCTGTTTATAGTCTGCATTTTTCTTCAGAAAATTGGGACAGAAAAAAATCCTCATTTTTTTTTTAGTAAAAACTGAAAGTTGATTCAAATTTTGTCTGTTGGCTTAAAAATTAGGGTTAATTTCCAGAAATATTGAAGAATATAAGAAAAAGTGCTGAGAAATTTGGGCGAGAAAGTCTGGTGGTGAAAAGGTTAGGGAAACACAAAAGTCCAAAAACACATTAGAGCTTTTTACAGACACTTTGAGGTGTTAATTAGAGACTATTTAATAGAATGCTTTTTAAAATATTAAATGGTACATTTGTGTAAAAAGCTAAACCATGCATAGTATTTAGCATTAGCCTGATTTGTATTGTTTTTTAAACCATATTTCATAAGTTTTTAGAAAACACAATGAGATATTTGATTCAAACTAGAAAATGAATCTTAATCTGAAATGTTGGTCAAGTTCAACATCGTAAATTTGTCAGAATATTTACCTTTGGCAACTCATTCACTAAAGTCACAGATCTCATCTTCCTATGGTCTTTCATTTCTACTAATAACTCATGTTGAATTTCCAGTGGTAATGCTCGAAAACTTTCCGAATGAATATCAATATCATTGATATCCTGAAATTGTTCTTGAATAAGTTCTTGCTGTATGTCTTGAGACCAGCTGTCTTGACTGCTGTCACTCTCACTTTTGAATAATATGCAAATTGGTCATTATTAACAAATTATTGAGCAATATATATAATTGTCAAATACTATTACTGTAAAATACTTTATTTTAGCTGGAATTAATTTTCGCTGAAAAGTCTTTTTGGCTGTTTTGTATGTAATTTATTTTCACTGATTTTTGACAAGTTTAATGTAAAATATAGGAAAAAAGGTATATTTACTAGATCTTATTTTCACTGAATCATTCCATTCAAAGCGAAAATAAAGTATTCTAAAGTATGTAAGCACAAAGATAGTAACACTGCCATATACATTGCCATGCATGGCAGGTTAGACATTTCACCACAGGCTCAACTCAGGAGACCACACCTTCTACTAAAGGGAAATTTATTTACTGAGAGTTTGAGAGAACCTAATGGTTAAAGTTTGTGATTGAGTCTGATTGAAGCTCTGAAATAATTTGACACTGACACAATGCGTCATTCATATTCAGGCAGTACAGTGTATATATAATATTGTAAGCCTACCACATTAGACTGAAAGTGGCATTCAGCTTTCGTAATATTGTTAGAACTCACTATTTAGAGTCTATTGAGAGGTATTTGGGCTTGTGAAAATGAGCGGATAGCGAGAAATTGGCCCGAACCAGGACAGCGATTTTATTTTTCGGTGGTGATATGTTTTTTACAATACTCTTACCGAGCATAGTAATACTTACAGGTTGTCTTGTGATGGTTTCATGGCTGGTAGTTCATACATATCAGTTTGTTTAGATGGCGATGATATGATCACATGACTTGTGGATGCCACTACACTAGTGGGTATAAAACAAAACAATGGTCAAAGCAAGGTCAATTAACCCTTTGTGGTACATGTACATATAAACAACAAATACAGATAATCACTTCCATGTTGACTGAATCAATAGATTATGTGAGATTATAGATTAAAAGATTAAGTTTTTTTTTCATCATACTGCAGTGCCATTCATTTTTTTTTTTATCAGAAGTACAGTGATACCTCAATATTATTCATTATACAAGGCATGTAAACCATCACTATATATAACAAGCTACCCATACTAACTATGCACCCCTCCCCCTCCCCCGAACACACAATCACATGTACATACTTAGTTCCTAAAACAGTGGTAATTGCAGTCTTCTTTAGGAAATTTTGAAGCAACTTTTGTCTGGCTTTGTTTGATTCTTTCACAGCTTTATCTTGTCTCTGACTTCGTAGAGCCTGAAAAAATATATTAGTTACTGATAAAGTCAATCTATTTTCATTCATCATGCAGCTTCAGAGATGTCAACTGGACACACAGAGAATGGGTACACACACGGATTTTAAATAAGAGTTTTCAGATGCAAAATGAAAGTGGTACAAAAATAACCTGTGAAATATAAAATTATGTGTAAAATACTGTGATGGTTAATACTACATCGTTGTCTTAGCCGATTACTGTGATCGCAAGAAAGAATGGCATTATTGTAGTATGAGACACTGTTTTGCTAATTTTATAGCTAAGCTATATAATTACTCACAATGTAGCCACTGTTTCCTGTGTGATCCTACATAATCATTTGATTTCACAGCGGCGTATATAACATCAAGTAAATACACTGTTTACAAATATGTACACAACAAGCCATGCATGGCACAGTCCCCGTTAGTTATCAAATTTAAGATATATAGTTTTGTTTATAGTAATATAGTTGGAACATAAACATGTCAGAAGTATGGATCCAGAAGTTAATGTTTGATTATGACAGTAAAATTATTGACATCTTGTATGTGATCATCAAACAAGTACTTGTCCATATTGAGAAATATTGCTCTGGAGCAGCATTAATTAAAACAAAATGGCCACCGGTCGGCCATTTTGAATACATCTATACATGATGTATAGCGAATATATAAAATGTGAACATAATCAGTCTAAGCATGTCAGAGATAAGCGCATTCATTTAAACAAAATGTCAGCCATTTTGAATCCGATCTGAAAAATAAAATGACGTGCATCAGGAACGCAAAAATGTATGTACCAAGTTTGAACAAAACCCATCCATAAACGCTAAGATCCAGTTCTGGAATGCCAGAAATGCTTGATTTTTGATGATTTTTTAGCACAAAAATGGCTGTCATTTGGCCATTTTGAATCAGATAGCCAACTCAATATATCTATGTCATGATGTATAATGAATATATAAAATTTGAACATAATCAGTCAAAGCATGGCAGAGATATGGCACTAGAACTGCATTCATTAAAACAAAATGGACACCAGTTGGCCATTTTAAATCAGATCTGAAAAATCAAATGATGTGCATGAAGATTCCATAATATCCAACGTACATATATGTACCAAGTTTGAACAAAGTCTCTCCATCAATGCTTGATTTTGATGATTTTTTAGCACAAAAATGGCCACCATTCGGCCATCTTGAATCATCATGAAACAAATTGATGTGCACATGTATAATATCATGTATGATGTATCTGTGAAGTTTGATTGTGATTGGTCCAGGTATTTCTAAGATACAGGTCCAAACGAGGACTAATAATCACAAATTGCATGAAAACCACTGCACTCATGAAAAAATTTTAATATTGCATACTCACCAAGGTTTGTTTCTTGAGCAATGGTACTCCACCATCAAACACAAACACTGGTTTGATACGATAAAACAGTAATTTACAGATTCGGTTAAATAAAACAACCAAATGTGCATTTGCAATAGGATTACCATCTCTCCCTCTCATTCCCTTCACAGCTTGATTCAACCATAAGCTGATATCTATACATGAAGAGTTAAGAAATATTTGCATAATCACCCTGATTTAGTCGTTTATTTCAAAACCACCTGATTGATAATTACGTTTATCATTACATCTCTTGTCAAGTTGACAATGACAAAAAGGTTATAAATAAATATGATTAAATACAGTGAAGGGACGCCATTCCCTTAGTTCCCTGTTTATATGGTTTGTTGTTGGAGAAATATTCACTTGACTTAGTTCAATAGTTTTTTAAATTAGTGAATTTTAATGCCCTTATAGTTCTAGTAGTAATGAGTGACTGCTCCATGTAAAAAAAAAAAAAACAGAATCTGTCATTTTGATTCAAAAGTTATGTGGGTTACTGTTTCAAATATATACTATTAGAAACAATGATTGCGTTAGCATTTTCATGTAGCAAGTCCCAAAGAAATAATGAACTGGACTTGCAATACATTCTGTGTACAAATGGCCCCCTTTGTAGTTGGGGGTCCTTCTCTAATATTGGGGATCCGAGAAGCAGAATATGAGGTTAACATAATCTCTGATCAGAAATGATCTGCATTACAGCACGGTTACTAAAACCGTGATTACTAGTACCGGTAACTGTGATTACAGACAGTACGGGAATTTTGCAAAGAAAACTACCAGTACCTGATTAATCTGGTAGTACCGGTATATGGGTTTGTAATAATCATTAAAACACCATGTGCAATATCTTAGCATTATAACTGAGAGAAGTTAGAGTGAGGAGTCAATATAAAGCAATTGTTTTTTTGCAATTGTGGCAGGTAGATGCTATTGCTACAACCATGAGCTGCATAATGATCAACATTCTCAAGAAACATTAAATAGCCCTAAAAAATTTAAACAAAGAGCGTCCTGATTTGATGAAAAGAACTAGAGGTATATAGGCATATGACACCACTTGAAAACTGTCATTAAATAGAAATCCTTCATAATATATATTAGTCCTGTGGTTTTAAATAAACTAAATGACAGTGTGCAAGTAATTTTGTCCTGATCAGCAAAGTACATGAAACTCTGCATCCTTGTTCTACAACAAAACCTTTTTCAAAATCAAAAACATTTGAAATCTGAAACTTTTCAGAGAGGGGCGCAAAAATACGTGGAGTACAGGCTGTAGTTTTAAGAAGCTCGGATTGGCCCCTAACCAATCTAAGCTTATACATGTAAAACTGTAGCCCTACGTACAAAACTATACCGTATACGTAGGACTAGGTCCGGATACATTCTGGGCTTCGTCAGTTAGTATACACAACGGCGTACATCGACGCTGCCATGTATACTAACAGACTAAACAATGACCTATCTTTATGGGGGACGGTCGATGCGTCCCAAATCACATTCGTCCCAAGTCGTTTCGTCCCACAAGTTAATTCGTCCCACAAGTTGATTCGTCCCAAAGTCGATTCGTCCCACGCACTGTTTTTGCCGACGTTATATACAAATACACCTTATATGCAACGTAGAGTTATTAGTTAATAAAAACAAATACACCTTACACGCAACGTACAAGTTATTAGTTAATAAATACAAATACACCGTTCAAGTTATTAGTTAATACAAATACACCGTACACGCAACGTAGAGTTATTATTAGTTAATAAATAAATACAAATACACCGTTCACGCAACGTGGAGTTATTAATTAGCGTGTCAGTAACAGTTGGCATAGAAATTGACCCTGCTCAAGATCGTAATGCTGACCAAAAATTAAATAAAATGGACGAATGTGAATTGGGACGAATGTGAAATGGGACGAATGTGAATTGGAACGAATCGACTCGTGGGACGAATGTGAATTGGGACAAATCGACTTGTGGGACGAATGTGTTGGGACGAATGTGAATTGGGACGAATTGACTGTGAATGATCTCTATATCTGGACCCCAAACGCCACGGAAACAGTCAGAAATGCCGGCGGAAGACTGACACCGATCAAAACAAAGGATACCAACAGCAAGAATCTTTCCTTCCAAGGATTCCAGCGTGACTGGTTGTCCAGTTGACTCTAGCAACCGCCACAACCCCTTCACTCCCATGTTGCCAGCGGAAGTCGGTTAGACTTTTAGAGGTTTTCGCCACAAATGCGCCATACTTTCGTACCGCACCGTTGTTTACATTTCGGAAATTTGCCGAGCGCAGCAGGTCGTGGAGGCGGCCATTTTATATTTGCACTGGGTTCATGGGTAACGTCGAGGCGCATGCGCCAGTTTGCCCACGTGTTGTGTGTGTAAAGATAAAATGGCAGAGTTAGAAGGTGAGCAGGTTTTACAAGTTATGACGGTCTCGTGATTGTTTTGACATTCATTGAATATGCAGTTTAGTTCAGAGAATCCAGTTATTGCGATCAGGCGTCTTTACTTAGTGTGAAATACTCGAAAACTTGCAATTCTCGACGAGTGCCTGATGCCCTCGTGGTGGAAATGACCCGGTGCGTACGATACACCGTATTCATTGATAAATTGGTCGGCATAAGATCAATTTTGTAGCATGTATGCGTACTCGGAGGTGACATGAGGGTGTCTCACGAATGAATATTAGTATATTGAACTGGATCAAGTTTAGCAAACTCCATGTCATTGCGTTGCACGCCGTTTTTTGCACATGTGACTATTTAACATATTTTGCACGTGTACATTTATTTCATAATGTAAACACATGCGTATGGTGTGCGATTCTAAAGGCTTGATTTTCATAAAGGTGTGCCTATTTGTCTTGTATAGGTACGCCTCACAAGAAAGCCAAAAAGGACAAGGAAAAGAAGCGTAAATACAGTAGTACAGAAATTGGGGTGAGATAATATTCCAATTACATGTAACTTTGTAATCAATCAAACAGACAAACCCTATTTGCTCTATTGGAACACATCTCCGATAGAAGATCATGTAAGCCAACAGTTACGTTTATTATTCACTAGATTATAAAATGTTGACCTATTTTGAACACAGAATCGCCTCTGCTTTTATGTAAGTGCATATGTAGGCTGTAGTAGTAAAAAACATTATTTGAACTGATAAGCAAATGTGGTCTGATTTGTTAACATTAAATGTTGCAACAATGGTGTTTTATAGAAAACAAATGACTGTCCTTTTTAATACTAGTGTCTGTAATGTACTGTGGCATTTTATTTTTATTGCAGCAAATACCCATCAACACATCACTTGTTTGACAGCCTTAAAGGGCATGACAAAGTCAATCAAGAAATTAACTCAAGTTGAAGGACTGTGGTCGTTGCACAGCTATATATGCCTGAATGTTGTGTGACAACAAACCTCTTTAATAAAATCATGTCATTTAACGATTAAAGGAAGAGTGATTTATAATTTTATTAAATTTTGTACCATGACTGTTGTGTATCAGGGAGGTTTTTTGGCCAATCAAATGTTTTTTGTAAATTTCTTGCATATTCGAATACATCAAATTGTTGATGTAATCTTGACCCACATTGCCATGCAACTTGTTTTTGCCCTCTAAATAGTATTACATCCCGTCAGTGTTTGTTAACATCAATAGTTATTTGCAACTACTGTAGAGCCTAAACTAAATTACAGAGGGGTAATGGAACCTGTATAGTATCAAGTGTTAGTAATCTGTGATGGCACTGTATTTATAATATAACTGAATGTTCTGTTTGTTTTTCTTAGGAAGCGCAACATCAGGGTGATTTTCTTATCAAACCAGACTCCAAGCCTGCCAAATTAGATACATGTCAATGGCCGTTATTACTGAAAAACTTTGATAAACTTAATATTCGCACTGGACATTATGTGCCACTGCCCAATGGGGCATCACCGCTGAAAAGAGAACTAAATGATTATCTTTCGTAAGTGCACTGTGAAACTTTACAACATAAATGTTTTGGGGACCTTGAATATTTGTTGCTAGCGTACATTTTGATTTCTCAGTGGCTGGCTGTCTTGGGTGGTTATGCAGTTATCCATTGTTTATAAAGAAAGTCTGTTGTTAGATCTATGTGTTTTATATATTACCAATACGATAATGATGAGCTACATGGCACTGGTAATTATATCTTCTCGTACATGATGTTCTGATTGGACGTTCGTTTCTCGCTTACAGGAGTGGATTTATAAACTTGGACAAGCCTGCCAATCCATCATCACATGAAGTAGTATCATGGGTGAAGAGAATCCTGAGAGTGGAGAAGACAGGTCACAGTGGAACATTGGATCCTAAAGTAACAGGGTGTCTTATTGTGTGTATTGAAAGAGCCACCCGGTTAGTCAAGTCACAACAAAGTGCAGGCAAGTTACAATACTCGTTGCTCAACCTCTACTCAAATTTATTTTGTGTAAGGTAGAAGCCTAATCATAATTTTTGAAAAAGTTGGTCATCAATTGCATGACAATATTCAAATCATGGAGCTATTGTCCCATAGCACCATGAAATAACATTATTTTGTGTGTTGCAGTGATGTATTTTGAGAAACTTGTTATAATATTATTTTTTTAAATCGCTATTTTTAGTACAATTCCATAGAACACAATAGAATTTTTTTTGACACTTTTTTTTTTCAAATCCAGATTTTTTAAATAACTTAAAGTACCCCATTAGTCGCAATGATTTTTCTTCAGCTTACATTCTGGCTTAATATCTTCTGTACACAGCTATTTAGCCAGCAAACCGCTTCTTAACGAAACCTCTGCTTGCTGACAGCATCAGGGTTTGCGCTATTGTCTCGGCAAGACGAGTCCCACTTACCAAATTTTAAGAAATTGAAATTTTACCCTGGATAACTTTCATAGAGATTGGACCCCAGCTTGCCTGAAAACCTGGGTCCCTCTTCAATAGTTGGAGTCCGGGAAGCAAAATATGGGGTTAACGCAATCCCTGGCATTATCCTTGCATAGCTATACTGTACCCTCTATTTATTTAGCAATTTTGTCATGAAGTCTTTCCATTACATAACTTGCATATGTTAAGTTACATTTTGTTGCATTCATCTGTAGGCAAAGAATATGTCTGTGTTGTCAGATTACATAGTGCTATTGAAAATGAAGCCAAGTTAGCTAGGGTGAGTTTTGCTGTTTTTCTCAGATGCACAAACTATAGTTTCTAGTGCATTGTTGCTGAAGTAATAAGTAAAG